TCTGGTGATCTCCTCTGAAGATGCCAGCCACAGAGACTGGCGAAACGTTAGCAAGGACAACCTTCAGAACACGGCTAAAGAGCCCGGAAAACCCACAACAACCATATTTTTATGTTGATAATTAAAACAGAAACTACAGGAATATCAACAGTCAAGGGTGGGTGATTATAAAATGCTATGTAACCAATGAAGAATTCCAGGGAACTTAAAAACCTGCACATTTCTGTAACATTTTGTAGGTCTCATTAAAGGTACAACCTCGTCGTAGTTGCTGTTTCTCCAAGAACTATTTACTGGCCGGAGAAACAGACAAGATTTCTGTCACTCAGCAGGTTTGAATTTCTATGGTTTTGGTGGGGGCAACGGAAGCAAAACAGCATTCTCAAATTACCTCATAATATTCTAACAAATTTTTAGCTGCTCTAAAATGGGCGGGATGTTTCTCCTTTATCTTATGCTTCTCAAATAAAATTAAGGACAAAGAATTATACATAAGAAAATATAATGAAATCCATTCTCAGTATAATTAAATCAGTTCACATAAATCATAAGATGGCCCCCCCAAAAAAATTACTGCACTGGTATCCAGAGAGATTAGTACCAGCCAGGAAATGAGGAGGCCTTACCAAGAGACAATACAGTTTTCCAGTTCTCCTCCATGACTTCTTGGTGCAGAGCCTTCTGGTCACAATCGAGTAGTGTCCACTCCTTCTGGGTGAAGAACACGGCCACCTCCTTAAAGGCCACTGGACCCTATATAAAATGGAAAGCAGGGCTTCCTCATAAGTTTCATAAAGATAACTTCCTGAATCCATAATAACAATTACAGGAAATGTGCATGGATATTATACTAAAATTTAAAACTTTCATGAGTGGCTTCTTTCTACTGGAGGACAAGTTTACCAATGTCTGCTAAACACCTTGGCTGTGTGCTCCAGGAACAGAGGTCTCTGAATCCCAGTTGTGAGGGAACAACAGAGGGAAGGAAATGGTACTAAGGAATCACCAATTCCTGCTGATTCCATATTCAGCTTTGTAAAACCTCAAACAATGCACAGATCCTGAGCAATTCTTCAAAATTAATAAAAAAAATTCTTCCCCATTTTCAACAGTCAGATATACTCTAATTAGTACTGTTATCTCCCACACAGAGAGCATCATGCGGTACCAGCCTGGTATAAAAGCACTGAAAACATGGAGCCTTTCATTAAAAAGGAATTGCCAGACTGATTCCAGGACTAAAGGGGTTGAATACACAAGATGTCTTTTTAGTTCCATGCAGTACCAGCCTGCTATAAAAGCACTGAAAACATGGAGCTTTTCATTAAAAAGGATTGGCCAGACCGATTCCAGGACTAAAGGGGCTGAATACACAAGATGTCTTTTTAGTTTCTTGTCAATACCTGATTCAGTTTTTCTCCATCACGAGGAACAGATGAAGGAATACTTGTTGCTAGCATCCTTCCAGCTTCTGCAGGAGAGACAAAAGAAGTAGGAAGATAGTAGAATAAGTTCCTCTCAGAATAAAATCATAATCCAAAAATGCTAGCAAAAAACTAAATTGATGATTTTTTGTGGGTTTTTTTGGGCTGTCTGGCCGTGTTCTGGAGGTTTTTCTTTCTAACATTTTTCCAGTCTGTGTGGCAGGCCTCTTCAGAGGACTGGAGCTACAATGCTGTCTGTGTACTGGTGGAGTGTGTGGGATAGGTCTTAAGTTATTTTTATGTTGATAATTAAAACTGAAACTACAGGAATATCAACAGTCACTCAAACAAGGGTGGGTGATTATAAAATGCTATGTAATCAATGAAGAATTCCAAGGAACTGAAAAACTTGCACACTTCTGTAGCATTTCGGTAGGTCTCATTAAAGGTACAACCCTGTCGTAGCTGCTGTTTCTCTAAGAACTATTTACTGGCCAGAGAAGCAGACAGGATTTCTGTAACTCAGCAGGTTTGCATTTCTATGGTTTTGGTGGTGGTGGGGCGACAGAAGCAATACCGCCTTCTCAAATTACCTCATAATATTCCAACAAATTTTTAGCTGCTCTAAAATGGGTGGGGGATGTTTCTCCTTTATCTTATGTTTCTCAAATGCAACTAAGGACAAATAATTATGCATAAGAAAATATAATTAAAGCCGTTCTCAATATAATTAAATCAGTTCACATAAATCATAAGATGGCCAAAAAAATTATTCGAAAGGTGAGATTAAAATAATTACAAGCAATGGAAAAGTAAAGCCCTAAAATATTCTCTAAAACGTCTCTAAAAACCCTAGAATATTCAGGCCTCATCAAGCAGCTTACTAACAATTACCCCTACAATCAAGCTGTCAAGATGAAACCCCATTTAAATTAGACCTGTACCTTTTGAGAATCCTCTAGTGCAATCTGCAAACCTTCAGCTCTTCAGATGTTGATGAACCACTAGTGTCACAATGATTCCAGACAGGCAAATTTGGCTAAGGAGATGGGAACTGGAACCAGCACATGAGGGCCACAGGTTGTCCATTCTGATACTACGGATCCCCCAGTGGCTAGTGTGAGTTGGAACACCACTCCAACATGGAAGCATTATTGTTCTGGTTATTGTTCCTAGTCATTAATGCACTGGTAGCCAGATAGGTTAGTACCAGCCAGGGAATGAGGAGGCCTTACCAAGAGACAATACAGTTTTCCAGTTCTCCTCCATGACTTCCTGGTACAGAGCCTTCTGGTCAAGATCAAGCAGTGTCCACTCCTCCTGGGTGAAGAACACGGCCACCTCCTCAAAGGCCACTGTACTCTATATAAAATGGAAAGCAGGGCTTCCTCATAAGTTTCATAAAGATAACTTCCTAAATCCATAACAACAGTTAAAGAAAAGTTCATGGACATTATGCTAAATTTTAAAACTTTCATGAGTGGCCTTCATGATATTTCTACTGGAGGATAACTGTACCAATGTCTGCTAATCACCTTGGCTGTGTGCTCCAGGAACAGAGGTCTCTGAATCCCAGTTGTGAGGGAACAACAGAGGGAAGGAAGGGGCTATTGGTGACCACCATGCCTTGACAGCATCCTGGAGGCATCTAGGCAGCCACGGTAACAGACAGAAGGTTAAACTAGATTGGCCGTTGGTCGGCTTGAGCAAGGTTGCTCTGGTACTCCTACCTGTCCCAGAAGAAAACAGAGGGAGGGAGTTCTATTCAGAAGGAATGTATAGAAAGTAGAAAGTAATTCCTGCTCATCCCATATTCAGCTTTGAAAAACAAACAATGCACAGATCCTGAGCCATTCTTCAAAATTAATAGAAAATAATTCACCCCCATTTTCAACAGTCAGATATACGATAATTAGTACTGTACTGCTATTCCCCATACAGAGAGCCCCATGTGGTACCAGCAAGGTATAAAAGCACTGAAAACATGAGCCTTTCATTAAAAAGGAATGGCCAGACTGATTCCAGGACTAAAGGGGCAGAATACACAAGGCGTCCTTGTCCATACCTGATTTGGTTTTTCTCCATCACGAGGAACAGATGAAGGAATACTTGTTGCTAGCATCCTTCCAGCTTCTGCAGGAGAGACAAAAGAAGTAGGAAGATAGCAGAATAAGTTTCTCTCAGAATAAAATGATAATCCAAAAAATGCTAAGATCATGACCACTGGTCCCATCACCTCCTGGCAAATAGAAGGGGAAGATATGGAGGTAGTGACAGATT